ACGTCATATCTTTTGATTAATCATTCACTATATTACTAACTGCCAATGCCCAACTGTCAGAAATAGTAGTCCGGATAGCGACGGTTATATCGTAATGAGTTCCAAATCACTGAGTCGAGTTCCGTCCAGAACCTCGCATGAGACATAACACAGCAATTCACTAAATAAGTCGGTCAAAAGATACGCGAAAACAAATTCATGACATATGTATAGGATTGATGCAATGTGAGATTGAAATGTAATATAATATAATAAGCTATCTCGATGATTGAGAACAGAAAAGATCAACCGAATACAGGAACGCCCTTTTCCTTAACATCTCTATATGCCTTACAGTCATAATAATCACATACCAAGGTTTGTTTATTTGGCCAACACATCACCGCTAATCCTTGATTCTATCACAGGGAGCCCAGGAACTATAATCAACTGTACGCAATTTTTTTTATATATTACCCCAAACCATTTAGAAGTAGAAGTTTGCAAGGAATCATGGGAAGAAACGGTATGCATTGCCGTGTGATAACTGTCATAAAGGTGATTGACAGGTGATACTCGGAAAGGACAATTCGAATCTACCAGGTGTGCTTGTTATTTACATAACAAAAGATATTTCCGATCTACTGACTTGCCTACGTGAGACAGCTGCTAGCTGACAGCTGACCACATTCTGATTGGCTCATGTGGAAACCCATGTGTACCTGAATCTGGGCCATTTATTCCTATAACCAAGCTAGACTGGGGACAGTTGTGGTCCACCATTTCATTTGAGTACCATATGTTGCTGTGACAGTGATACAGGCTTCAACCATCATTCTGTGAGACTTGTATGAACTGCTCTGCGATCTCCTGCTTTCAGCGGTGCCCTCCAGAATAACAGCATTCCGCTGCAAGCAAGACCCCTGTATCTCTTCGTTGTTGTGTTGCAGAAGCAATTGACTGTCATCAATTTCCACATCCTGGAACTGTGAGTTATCTCCAATGCACATTACCCTTGACAATCTCCTAATTTAGTTAATTTATTCATTGTATTATTCTGTGCTTTGTTTCTGGTAATTATTTTGAGAGGTATTAAAGCCAGGAGCTTTAACTCGATATTTTTGTGTATGTTTATTTTATTTCCAGTGCCATTCTAGTAGTGAAAGAGCCCCCTGTCTGTGGTTGCCCCTCTCAATAGCAATAATAAGGCCACTGTGACACTAACATATAATTTAGAGCGCCATCTATGGCAATAAGATTTGCTCGCAAAGTTTATAGCTGTACCACGGATAAAACATATACACTTTACAATTGGTTACTTTCTGACTGAAAATCCAACCAATTTGAATAATTCGAACTATTAATCTGTTTTCCTTTTTCACTATACTACATTAAAGAAACACGGTAGCATGCATGATATAATAATATAAATGTGAACTTTTAACCATAGCAACTTCATTAACGTTATGTTTTCGTGGTATGAATTGTGAACTGAGAAAGAGAGAAAATAATTATTGCATTATATTTTTTGCACAAACCGACCCATGATTAAGGCTTAGGCTTTGCGCTGCACGTCAAAGGAACGGACGTATGGAATCAAGAGCAAGTGTGGCGCTAGCTTCAAACACGGACTGTTACTGGGTCAAGTGGTAGTCTACATAAATAGTTCGACCAACTGTAGTTTTCCAGTACTAAACCATATACCGATTAGGGTGCTGACAATGGGAACAGTAGAAAAGCTGCAACAAAAATAAATACATCGGCGATTCTTCGGGATAGGCAACACGACGCTACATTTGACCAGTTGTCACATGTTACGTCAAGTTTGATTGTGTATATTCTTTAGAGGCGCATGCAATCAGATCTATGCATTTTACTGAAGTCAAATACGCGACGTGGAATCCCACACGGATCACCGTGGAGATTATGTTTACGTGAAACCGAATGTTGCGATAATCACAGATGATAGTCATAATGTAATTATTAATCACAAAACGCAGGGAATTCAGAGTAGACGAGAATTATTGCACACGACCAATTCACAATTGAATTACAAGGCAAGATTGCATTATTAATTTCTCTTATGGTAGCAATATTGGGATATATAATGTAGCATATATTTTATTGTGGCAAAAAGCATTTCACCGAAAGACAGAAATTTTGAAGTGAAAAAAATGTTTATATAGTTGTATCCTAAAATAAAGAAGAGTACAATAATACAAGCTAATAATCATTTTAATTTTAAACATTTAAATGTGTTTATCTTAAAGTATATACATGTATGAATCCTAACACAAGTTCAAAAAGTACATAAAAGGCAGGTCGAGTAACCGGGATCAGGTCGTAATTTCACAAAATTTTAAGTACAACTTTAATTTGAGTTGTTTTTGTAATTTAATAACGTTGCACATGCGACGATTCACGAGAAGACAATTTCCACACTAGAATGTTTATATTATTATGTTAACACTTCATAATGAGTACCAGTATTCCTGCGTATAATATCAATATGTACTCTAGGGTTTATGTACTGTAAAAACCGAATTTGATAATATTACGTGTTTAAAATGTGTATATGTCGTCCGCTCTATGATATGTAGTACTTTTCCCACTGAGAACATTATGGTTGTATTTCGCCGATTGTTGAATGTTGCCACCTTCTATGTAGGAATGTATGTTTGTTCATAAAAAAAAAAACATTTGACAATGAGATTAAACTATGACGATCAGTGACGAAGAATATAAATTATCAAGTTATTTTTAACACTTTTAGCTTTCAATAGAACGGACTTTTAAATAAAATGCGTGAATGATGTTATCCTTACTTTTCTATTTCTTTGTGGAGAAGAAAGTATACTTCATTTACTCCATGAGTGGGCGTGCGTGCTTAGCCCAAGTTATTTCAGGCTGGTCACGAAGTGCGCGTAGTGATCTGATATAATCTATTCAAGAATGACAAATAAACACACGTTCATTTTTTGTATCCCGTTCGGTGTAGTTCAAAAATCTTTGCAACGTGCGTGCTTGCAAGATTCCGGTCGTTTGTCTGCAGTTATTTCTTATTTCTGACCGCTTTCTTCCAAACTCGATAAAAAGACAAGGTACGAAGTCATACGTATCAATTTCGATTTTTGATTCAGGCGTAAAATATACCTAAATCTTAATACTTGAACCTGATTGATTTGAATTAAATATATATTTGTTTGTAGGTGACCTGATCAAACTTTTGTTAACAACTACAGACATATTATCACAATATACAGATGCACCTTTTTTCATCGCCATCGCAAGAAATTGCTGTTATTTTAGTGTGGCAATTGTGTTCTTGGCTTTTCGTGAAGCATCGCACGCATGTTAAGCCACTATTTTGGTATTTACTACTATTTTGCTTAACACACAAAGTTATTGAATTGTGAAAATCAAATCAATGCGAAAACAAATCAAAATCAGTTATACTTAACATTTTACGCTTTCCGATCTCGTGTTTATGATGAGCGTTCAAGATTCATAAATTGTTTATTAAGTTATGCTATTTCACAGCTAATTATATATCCTCCTCCTTTAACATATTTTCTCGTTCAAAAATTACAGATTCAAAATAGAAATCAGAAAATATTCGCTAGTTTTAGATATATGTGTCAGTAATTCGATGAAGTAAATCGTTTGATGCTCGACAGCAATCCCTACAAATATTTGCGCATTCTTCAAGTACGTATTCTGAGTTACGAACAGTGCTCTCTGTCGCTTCCATAGGTCTCGGCCATTACTTTTCGCGCACGTTCACTTTATCGTCGGCAATGTTGTCATTGTTGTGCTGATGCAGTTGCATATATGATCGGGAGGTCATTCGCGGCTAAATCCAGATATAACGTGTGGTAGTTCGCAAGGCAGTATTTAATATTTTTCTTACGTCACGCGTTTGGGAAAAAATGAATACTGTTTCTCACAATACTACAGGTTATCTTGGATATTAGCTACGAATAACCATATATCCATATATCGTGAAATTTTAATAAAACAGTTGAATAATTATTGATATTTCCATACAATGTAATAAATAATGCTGTAATCTGATTGTCGTTAGTCCAATCGGTTAGCATGGACTAATCTCTAAATTAAA